TGAATTATTGTATTGTAGATCTATGCTCCAATATAAGTACATATGCTTGATGCCTTCACCAACTCACCAGTATGATGAGCCGTGGTGAAATACTCATACTAGGGAAGACCCTCATCCAGCAGTGGATTGACAAAAGGGTTGTAGATGTACACGTTTATTATGTTTTACCAGGTGTGAAACTAAATAGACCAGGATAGTCTCGTTTGCAAGACGAACCCTGGGGCATAAGCCTGTCAGTACCGATGATTGCTATGTATAATCCAGACGGAGTGATTTATGGGTCCTCTTGAATTGACAAATGTGGCCTACCCTTGCAAATGACGTCAAGGGATGTTTATTTAGCCTTCGCTGTGAAGCAGACGTCGTGTAGTCGTTATCATTAGGGTTATTATGTGGCAGGGGGCGAACTCACTACTGCCAGGCCAGATCACCACTCATTACTGTGCTGTATACGTTATACAATGTGATATCCAGTCCTATGTGAAATACTGCACGGGTGATATTTTTCAGTCAGTTTGTCAACTTTATTTTATTCTGGAAGCCTAGCATAAGGAAGGAGGTAGTGATGAGTGAGTGAATGATTGACACCAATGAAGTCAATCATCTCCTTGCAGCCTCAAACCGAAATTTCTCCACTCTTTTCCACAACCAATAAAAATGTGATATTTTTGTTAATTATAGAAGTTTTGTGGTTACAGTTCATATTGTTGATACTTAAAAATGTTTTCCTTAAAAAAACATAACAAATGTATCTATCTCTGAAATGGTGCAAAACTCATACATTAAAGGACAGTATTTTTTTTCAAATTAGCAGACACAACTGAACAATTAAATGATCACTCAAACGGCGTGAAAGTGAATTAGGATGAATTGCTACCCATTACATGACGTAATTAAACACTGGGCTGATTTCCTGAAACCCATAATTTCCTGTCCACCCAGCAGTACAAATAGGTTAATCACAATGAGTGATCGTTGTGTGTATTGGGGTAAAGTGTGGGTACTCAACACCTGTTCGCCTTTTGGCGTTCTCTGGTCTCACACTGGTGAGACTAGTCCTTAAAGAAGAATGTCTAGACAAAGGGGCCGTCCATAAATTACGTCACGCGATTTTGGACAATGCCATATATAATTATTATCAGAGCATGTTTTTTGTTTGCATGTTCACCACAAGTACATGTGGCTAATGCAGACTTGATTCCTTTCAAAATGTTTCTATTTGGTGTTCGAACATCTTAACAGCTGCTTTATTGCCAGAAAGGGTAAAACCTGTTCCTATTTGTTCACACTCAACACCTCTTCTGAGACGTCTGATCAGTATGTCATCTGGTCCAACACCAGTGGAGACTAGGCTCTAAGAAAAGCCGTCTCGGGTGTAGACCAATCACTTTCAAGGACAGTGCATATCATTATCAGAGTTGTCTCTTTTTGTTTGCATTTTGACTGCTTGTGTTGTGGTTATTGCAAACATGATGCCTTGTATAAAGGTGTCAGTTTTTGTACCAGTTGAAAGGGTAAAAACCTATTACTATATTTTGCCATTGGTAAAGGAGATGTCATAGTGTAAATATAGTTTACTTCTGATGCTATAGTCGGGAGTGATATGAACTAATTGGTCCTTGATGTAATTGGCGGAGCTGTTTTAGATGACCTTTATTTTTCGTGCCAATATCACCCCCCAATAAAGTGGGTATCATGGAATGAGACGTTTGCATGTGGATACAGAAGCTAGGCGGTAGGTGGCGTAGCAATAATGAAATATGGGCAGAATTGTGGCTTTAATTATACAGTATTAATGGGAAGTCGAGGTGGAATACTGTACGGCATTTGTTTCTCAAGAATAACATCGTCCCCGATAGTTTTTATTCTAGCCGGTCTAATCTCTCATCACGATCACGGCGGGAGGGAATTTAACGTAGTTTGTCAAGTGCTCAAAAGTAACAGCATCAGCTTACATCCATGCGATGAAGGACGCGTTTAAACCCCTTTTTTGTTTGGCGATTGCAAACTCATTTGTTTGGTAACCATGGCGAGAAACATTGTCGTTTCCTCCTTTCTCAGACTGTACATGGTAGAAAGACTCGACGCAAACTTGTTGGATTAAAAATATCGATGTTCTGTGAAAGAGGGTCACTTACCCGAGCCATCACTTATCATATTTCCCTTAACGTGAGTGCCATTGGCGAATGTTTTGAGGTTGATAAACATCGCTCAAAAACCATTGCAATGTCAAATATGCGGTGACCATGATACAGTGGTTTTGGAGTCCGTGACTTGCTCATCTTGGGCAACAATAGATGAACTCACCGCCCCCATCATCCCACCAGCAATTCCAAGAATTTTCACAATTTCAGGCCACGTTTCCACTCAGTAATTGGCTTTTTTGTCTCGTTTTTACTCTCTAGGTTTGCAAAAATGCCTTCAGGCTCCGGCGAGGCTTTCCTGGTAAAAGTACTGCTTGAAACTATTACGACGAAACGTTTCTTGTTCTACCTGGCAACAAACAAACCTCAGATGAGCATGGTTGGCTACGTACGGTGCGAAAGAAGTCCAGCACACATACAGACCTTGCCGCACATAATTGTTCAACAAACGATAGCTCAATTAGCATCGTATTATTACGGTGTGATGTAAAGTCTTATAATACTTGTACACTGAGTAAACGGGGGTTTCATCGCACAGTTATCAGACAATTCGGTAGTTGTTTACCGGTAGCCACATGAAAAACCTGAAACTCTAACCAGTATACGCAGACTATTGGATTTTTCAGTTTAATCGAATAAAACGAAATCAGTCATGATCAAGCCACTACTGGATGTAGGCTTCCCAAACCCTTATCCATCACTCACGATCCTGCCATGTAATTAATAATCCGGATTCCATCGCTCCATCTCCGCAGGAGACGTACTCTCCGATGATTTCCCTCCTTTTGTGTGTCACTCCATTCCCATTGTTAATTGAATTTTCTTCCCACGGGATAATATAAGGCTACACGTTTACAAGCGTTTCCTTTGACGATATCAGTACATTGCTTGTAGTTCGTGTCACTTTACAAAATTGTAAATGTTGTGGCTTCACGCTTCAACACACCGGTGGGCTAAAGCAGCGAACTATTTGTCTTTTGTCAACGTGACACTTTTTAAATCCTTTATATAAAGTTCGCTTGCTTGCGCGCTTACGACCGTGCAAATCTTTCGATCGTTTTTTAACCCACTTCCCGTGATCCAATCGAGCTGACATTTTGCACACAGATTCGTTGTGCGAGACAATTAATGTTCGTGAATTTTTTTTCCAAAATTTTACACTGTTTAGGGAAAACAAATTAAATAATTAATTACCAATTGCTTAATACTGGCAGACAATCATCTGACCCATAGGTGGCAGCCATCTCAAGCCAGAGGACGATATGACTCTAGCCGCCACGCATATAAAGGATTTATAGTGAAAAACTTTGTTTTTACGGGTTTACTTGTTTACTGATTGGCCGTGTCGGGTGGTGGAGGGTTACGACACATTTATAAATAACGCGATCTAAACCCAAAAACGTTGATTATGAATAATATTGGTCGCGAAAGCCTCCTGCGTGTTAAACAGAGGCACGTGTGTTTGCATGTTCACCACTGTGTGTGTGGTTAATGCAGTATTTGATTCCTCGCAAACATGTTTCTATACTCTTTGGTTATTTCGGTAAAGTCACGACGGTATAAAGTGTGATTTTATTGATTTTAGTTTCTACCTACGTGACTTTACCGAAAGAACCAAAGAGTATGGATCCCTGCAGTCACGAAAACTTCAAATCGAGATTAAAAATGTTTCTGTTTGGTGTTTGGACGTCTTGACGCCTATTTTGTTGCCAGAAAGAATAAAAAGCAATTCTTATTTTTTTTCCATACCGAGTTAAACATGTTTAATTGTAATTAGCATGCTTCGATTGAGTGATCAATTTATGTTTTACAACATTGTTCTTTTTTGGTGTGGTTTTCATAGAAGCCCTATTGTGTTTACAACCTAACCTTTTATTTTACCCATTATTTGCATTTTATCTTTCGCTTGTTTTTGTGCAAATGAACTATACAACTAATTACACCATTCCTCCATACCCTCCAAATTATCAGCGATTTTAAGCGGAGTTAAACTCGCGGATAAGCAAGATTAATTAGTCTGACAATATTAGTCGATTCCACTGCCTGATAACTCTATAATAACGATGCTATCGACGAAACGTGTTAGGGGGTTAAAAAAAAAACACACACAAACATATTCTACGATAACTGTTACAGAAGTAAAGATTTGACCGAGGCCGTTCAATCAATCGATAAAAGGTATCGATTGTTTGTGACATTGTGAATGTAGCGGCCTCTAGCGGCTGCGAGGGTCGATTCGACTCATTGACGGTACAGAGACGGACGGATCGACAGTAGAGTCTAAAAATGCGATTCAAGGTATCGTAACATTGAAATCATGCGATAATTTAATAAAGTAATCAATTATTAATCGTTCTATGAAGCTGTGTGCATCTATCGATTCACCATTCCACGATCGCTTTCAAACCGATTCCGGGTAACGATTCGATTCAAATCTCGATTGTTATTTTTTCTCTCTTGTTTTTGTTGCTTTCACGTTAGTTTCAGTGCTTGATACTAACCTTAACGTACGACTTACATAAATCATGAAAACATATACGTTGTTATGGGAACGACTAGATGAAATATATCTCAAACAACAATAATCGATTCTATCAAACTATACTCCAACGGAATCGACGAATCGCTTGTCGCCCGCCACAGTAACAGCACGCAAACGAAACAATCAACGTCGCACATTTCCGGAAAACACCGAAGATTACCGAACGCCTCGGAAAGAATCGATTGGCTACCGAACGGAGTGGCCCCGCCCCACACCCCTCCCCGCTCCGGCGATACCGACCGGTGATTGGCCAACGGAGTCGGCCGAATGTTTCCGTAAATTGTCGAGCAGCCGAACTGCGTCACGTGACCGAGCGACGAGTACATAAGGACCTGCAGCAAAGTGACTCGCCGCCATTTCCTTCGCGGGGAGCTCGTCGACAGAAGGTGTGTATGGGGCCCTCTGGTGAATCTCATACGTTAGCCGACTCGAATAACTTTAACTTGCTTACATCGTAAATACAAGTTTGGTTAACGTTTTGAATTGGCGCCAGTGACGTTTTCTCTACTTTTTATTATTTTTTTAAACTTTTTTTATTTTTTTCGCCCTCTTAAACCAGCACGGGCACCGTGTTGTGTGTGTATACACACACTGTACGTACAGTGTTGAGCGACGATTCGTCTGTCCACGATTTTGGAAGTTTTCACAAGTTCCCCCTTCCATACCGTCCCTCTCCACCCCCCTTCCCTCATCCTGGTTGTTGCATTCGCGACTCCTACACCCCCCCCCCCAACCTAATCCTCGTGTGTTCCATGATTCTCTTACCCCCGCTCCCTGAGCGGCGCCGCGTGTGGCGGCGGCGGCGGCAGCAGCAGCAGCAGCCGCTGCTTACTTCACCTCCCGCGGGGGCCGAGCCTCCCGCGGCACTCTACATAATCCCGCCTCCCTCCCCGTGCTGCCTGCCCCCCCCGTCCCCTGCGTGCGTGCGAGCCGCCCACACCGCTGTAACGGCCGCGTGTGCGCCCCCCATGGGCAGGTTAGACGGGAAGGCGGCGGCGGCGGCGGTGGCGGTGGCCGCCCGCGGGCGACGTTGGCGTCGGCTGCAAGTGCCCGGGCGCCGCCCCAGGGGGCGCAGGGAGCCGCGGCAGCAGCAGCAGCCACTGCTGCTGTGTCTTCCCACCCCCCGGAGCCAGCGGCTGTCGCAACAGCAGAGACTGCAGCAGCAGAAGAAGCAGCGGCGGCAGCAGCTTCGTCCGCGTAACGTGAACGGGTGCCTGGTGGCCGGGCTGCGAGCGCCGCACAACACCACGCAGTTCCTCATGTGCGACGAGTACAGGCGGGAGCGCCTCCGCGTCGACCTCGCGGGGCCCGCGGCCCCCCGCGATGCGGGTGACCTGGACGGCTACTCGCGGGCGCTGGAACGAGCCCGTGGCGGTGCCTGGGGGGGCGGCCTCGTGGTGCCCATCTGCGTGCCCGGAGACTGGGGCTCGAGAGGAGCCGCGGGGGGGGACAGTCCCGGCTTGGCGGAGGCGAGATACGAGCCCGCGGATGATGATGACGATGATTGGTCGCGCACCGAGGACTTTATGGAGCGCGACTTTGCGGCTGTGTACAGAGAAGCGGGGTGTGCGTGAGGCCCAGGGGAGAGACGCTGGGGGCGGACAGTGGCTTACTGCCACCGCAGGGACATGCGGTGGCCACACACCTGATGGTGGTGATGGACCCCCCCTGTTGTGGGTGGTGATGGACCCCCCCTGTTGTGGGTGGTGATGGACCCCCCCTGTTGTGGGTGGTGATGGACCCGAGGTGGCGATGCAGACTCCTCCACGCGCCGTGTGCTGCTGCTGTTGTTACGGGAGAGTGGCTGTGTGTTTTTGATGCAAGGCTTGAATTGTCATCTTTTTGGAAATTGTTGAATGGTCTCCACCTCCCACCCGTATGTTGTCGTTTTTATTTAACTTGTGATGTTAATTCCGTGTCCCTCCACCTCCCCCCCCCCCCCCCCCCATGATGAGAGGTGTGTGTGTGAGATGCACTCGTGTGGTTGTTGCACTTGGCTGTACAAAGCTTCCGACGGGCTCCCATGTGCGCGAATGTTGAGGGGCTCTTGTTCATTTGTCGCGTTCCGGACGACTTTGGCTCTCGCGGCCACCGTGTTTGTGATGGCGAGTTGTGTGCCCGTCCTTGTAATAAAACCGTGCAACACTCGTGGTGGCTTCAAGACGCGGGGGGAGTCTCGTGTCTGTGCACTTTTGTAAAAACAAGGTTGTGTTTTGATTTTGCTCAAGCGAGGCCCAGAGTGGTCATGTGCTGCTTGTACATAAACGCGTGCAATTGGAACGTTGTGGATGGTTTGCGTTGTGAATTCACCGCTGCGGTTGATTTAACTGAATAAATTATTTTGTTCCTGTAATGCCTTGTCCAGTTATGTGGCTTAAGTTGGTGCCATTTGGTTTTGAGCGTGCAATAACTTGAATCGATTTGGGGTTTTTATGAGTTTGGGAGACCTACAATAGAGCACAAGTACGTTGTGGTATGCCACATAGGCTGCCTAAATATCAAATGGTATAAATATTCAATAGAAAACAAACGGTAGACTTTGCCAACTCGTGTAGCCAATTGTTGACATGAAAACCATTCCAGGAAATGTGAACTCGAAGATCTGAATCGCAGTAACCAAATGATCTGATTAGCTCGGTTGGCTACATAGTGGCAAAAGATGTTACAACATCTACGCTACATTAACGTCTTGGACGTTACCATTTTTCTTGAAAGTTAAATGTACATCGGCAATAACACGTCCCGATGTAACAAGGAATTGTACTCGCCGATTCTGCCCGTGTTCAACATGGCCTGTGTACATTGGTCCGTGGGGAAGTTGTAATTCACCAGTGTTCGCATACCACACCAACCCATACGATTTATACCCCGAATTAAACAGCTTTCATGTCCAAATGGCGTACAGCCGTTTCAATACGGGCAAGGATGGATCTCCCTTGATGGGACTTCATAGGATGAACGTTGAGATTTATAAGGTCACGGGGCGACCAATAAGTTCTGAATTAGTCTGTAATAATGTTAGGCACTGATTGGGGAATGAGAGGTATGTGTTAGCGTGAAAGGTTTTTTTACGTTTCACACGGAACGAAGTTGGTGCGACGTTGCATCACGAGACCCGGGACTCCATTACAGGCACAGGCAGCAACAACAACAAGAACAGCGCCACCATCATCCACCCACCACCACCCATCACCATCACCACCATCACCACCACCACCCACCATCCACCACCACCACCCACCATCCACCACCACCACACACACCCATCACCACCCCCACCACCACCACACACACCCACCACCACCCATCACCACCACCACACACACCCACCATCACCACCCACCACCACCACCACACACACCACCACACACACCCATCACCAATCACCATCACCACCACCACACACACCCATCACCACCCACCACCACACACACCCACCATCACCACCACACACCACCACCATCACCACCACCATCACCACCCCCCACCATCACCACCACACACACCCACCATCACCACCACCACACACCACCACCATCATCACCACCCCTCACCATCACCACCACACACACCCACCCACCACCATCCACCACCACACACCACCACCATCACCACCCCTCACCACCACACACACCCACCCACCACCATCCACCACCACACATCCACCACCACCAACCACGGCCAGTGACGAGATGGCGTCACATTCCTCAACCGCAAAAGTCCGCTCACGCGTGGAGCCACATTTACACTTCCTCTCGGGAATTCAATCGCCGTGTACCCTAGTCAAGGTTTGCCGTGTGTACCCTAGTCAAGATTGCCGTGTGTACCCTAGTCAAGGTTTGCCGGGTGTACCCTAGTCAAGGTTGCCGTGTGTACCATAGTCAAGGTTGCCGTGTGTACCCTAGTCAAAGTTTGCCGTGTGTACCCTAGTCAAGGTTTGCCGTGTGTACCCTAGTCAAGGTTGCCGTGTGTACCATAGTCAAGGTTGCCGTGTGTACCCTAGTCAAGGTTGCCGTGTGTACCCTAGTCAAGGTTGCCGTGTGTACCCTAGTCAAGGTTTGCCGTGTGTACCCTAGTCAAGATTTGCCGTGTGTACCCTAGTCAAGGTTGCCGTGTGTACCCTAGTCAAGGTTGCCGTGTGTACCCTAGTCAAGGTTGCCGTGTGTACCCTAGTCAAGGTTGCCGTGTGTACCCTAGTCAAGGTTGCCGTGTGTACCCTAGTCAAGGTTGCCGTGTGTACCCTAGTCAAGGTTGCCGTGTGTACCCTAGTCAAGGTTGCCGTGTGTACCCTAGTCAAGGTTGCCGTGTGTACCCTAGTCAAGGTTGCCGTGTGTACCCTAGTCAAGGTTTGCCGTGTGTACCCTAGTCAAGGTTGCCGTGTGTACCCTAGTCAAGGTTGCCGTGTGTACCCTAGTCAAGGTTGCCGTGTGTACCCTAGTCAAGGTTGCCGTGTGTACCCTAGTCAAGGTTGCCGTGTGTACCCTAGTCAAGATTGCCGTGTGTACCCTAGTCAAGGTTGCCGTGTGTACCCTAGTCAAGGTTGCCGTGTGTACCCTAGTCAAGGTTGCCGTGTGTACCCTAGTCAAGGTTGCCGTGTGTACCCTAGTCAAGGTTGCCGTGTGTACCCTAGTCAAGGTTGCCGTGTGTACCCTAGTCAAGGTTGCCGTGTGTACCCTAGTCAAGGTTGCCGTGTGTACCCTAGTCAAGGTTGCCGTGTGTACCCTAGTCAAGGTTGCCGTGTGTACCCTAGTCAAGGTTGCCGTGTGTACCCTAGTCAAGGTTGCCGTGTGTACCCTAGTCAAGATTGCCGTGTGTACCCTAGTCAAGGTTGCCGTGTGTACCCTAGTCAAGATTGCCGTGTGTACCCTAGTCAAGGTTGCCGTGTGTACCCTAGTCAAGGTTGCCGTGTGTACCCTAGTCAAGTTGGCGTGTGTACCCTAGTCAAGGTTGCCGTGTGTACCCTAGTCAAGATTGCCGTGTGTACCCTAGTCAAGGTTGCCGTGTGTACCCTAGTCAAGGTTGCCGTGTGTACCCTAGTCAAGGTTGCCGTGTGTACCCTAGTCAAGATTGCCGTGTGTACCCTAGTCAAGATTGCCGTGTGTACCCTAGTCAAGGTTGCCGTGTGTACCCTAGTCAAGATTGCCGTGTGTACCCTAGTCAAGGTTGCCGTGTGTACCATAGTCAAGATTGCCGTGTGTACCCTAGTCAAGTTGGCGTGTGTACCCTAGTCAAGGTTTGCCGTGTGTACCCTAGTCAAGGTTGCCGTGTGTACCCTAGTCAAGGTTGCCGTGTGTACCCTAGTCAAGGTTGCCGTGTGTACCCTAGTCAAGGTTGCCGTGTGTACCCTAGTCAAGGTTGCCGTGTGTACCCTAGTCAAGGTTGCCGACAAGTCAACGGGGGCAGGTGAGATTGGTGCAGCAAACACAAGATAGCTGAGACGCTATACTAGATTGGGTATGGGCAGTTGTCTTCATTTCAATAAACGACAGCGACAAATCGATCACTTGCACGGCCTACAATCAGCCACAGTCGTCATCCGTGGCCGATTGTAGACATCCAAGCACCGGGCGTGGTTCTCCACATTCACCCCGCAGTGACCGGCGTGGTGAAGTATGGCACAGCACTGTGCGGTTGAACATTCTCGCCCCTGACCGCCATGCCGTGTTGGAGGAGGGCTCCGTCTACCAACAGGGATGGCCCAATGGGGGTGGACACGTTTTACAATTATCTTTGAATAAATTCGACCTTTGGCACGTTTGCGATGCAGTAATAGTGTGCGGTGTGAGTGGATCGTACAGCGCTGCACTTGGAACTGTCTGACGTCCGGCACTTGTTAAACATGTGGCCACAGACTGTGCGCAACGCGACCCACGAACACGACGTTGGCTGTTGTCGTGAAACGTGCCGAGGCTTGCCCCCCCGGGGCGGAGTCAGCCACCCTCGTGCCGTGGGTGAACTGCCACACGGCAACATTCAACGTAGCAAAGACAAAGACAAAGATCCCCCGTATAGCCTGAACAGACTGTAGGGGCAAGTGCTGTTAGCGAGCACCTATGAAGGCCGGAACGGTACACGAGGGGGTGGGTGGCCAGCACCACGCCCGACCGCCTTTGTCTCCCTAGTGGCGATGTTTACACACGCACCAGGTACTCATTTAAGGCTGAGTCGACCTAGGGGAGGCCCAGAACCGGTTCAGATAATCGTCACTGGTGTTAGCCGTGAGCGGGAATCGAACCCGGGTCGCCAGGTTCATAGCGCAGCGCGCTAACCGCTACACTACCGCTACCCACAAACACACACACACCTCCAACGTAGCACACACACACCTTCAACGTAGCACATTTCACACACACACCTCCAACGTAGCACACACACACCTTCAACGTAACACATACACCTCCAACGTAGCACACACACACCTTCAACGTAACACACACACACACCTCCAACGTAGCACGAACACACACCTCCAACGTAACAGATTTCTCTCACACACACACGCCCTTCAATGTAGCACACACACCTCCAACGTGCCACATTACACACACACACCTCCAACGTGCCACATTACACACACACCTCCAACGTAGCACATTTCACACACACACACCTCCAACGTAGCACACACACACAACTCCAACGTAGCACACTTCACACACACATCTTCAACATAGCACACACACACCTTCAACGTAGCACACACACACACACCTCCAACGTAGCACACTTCACACACACACACCTCCAACGTAGCACACACACACACCTCCAACGTAGCACACTTCACACACACACCTCCAACGTAGCACATTTCATACGGTGAGCAGTCAAACACAACACACCACACAACACACCACCCACGATGCAGAGTCGGCACACATTCACAACGTTCACAGTCAACACTCACTCACGCAGCACACATCGTCAACATATTACACATTAACACAGTAACACATTAACACAGTCACAGCACACATGTTCAAACAACACAAAGACAAAGATCCCCCATATAGTCTGTAACAGACTGTTGTGGCAAGTGCTGTTCGTGAGCACCTATGAAGGTCGGCACGTCACATTAGGGGGTTGGGTGGTCAGCACCACCCCCGGCCGCCTTTGTCTCCCCAGTGGCGATGTTTTTACACACCGCACCAGGTACTCGCTTGAGGCTGAGTCGACCTAGGGGAGGAGGGCCAGGACTGGTTCAGATAATCGCCACTGGTGTTGGTGGCCGTGAGCGGGAATCGAACTCGGGAGACAAATTCACACAGTACATACAGGACACACATTCACACAGTACATACAGGACACACATTCACACAGTACTTACAGGACACACACGACACACAATACACA